GATGGATGGATGGATGGATGGATAATGGATGGATGAAGTTATGTTTTCTGTTTGTATTATCTCAGAGCATAGTACAGATTCTATGTTCTAGCAGATTCTGTGTTCTGTGATATAAACAGAGGAAATTATTTTGAGAGCTTAGTCTCACTCTTATGTAATCATCCATTAATTTAAATTACTTGCCTAATACCTACCCAGTGCCAGGCATCATGCTAACCTCTAAGAAGTAGTGCATCAGTCCACCTAGTGAATGGGATGCTGATGAGGATCTGTGCCTCATGCTTAAATATTTGAGAAAATGTTTGGAGAAAATACGAGCCATATATCCTACTCAATGAAATTGGGTTCACTGGGGGCACTGTTTTATTCTTTTCTATAGCCATACTTAGCCACTCCATCCTGGCAGCTCTGTCTATGTTTTTAAACTATGTCTGGCTGCACTACAAAATGAAATCAGATAAAGGTCTCTAACGTTTGATAAATGGTTTATTTAGTTGATCGTCTTGGCTGCTAGACTGAAATTCATCAGCAGAAATCTGCCAGCTTTTCTGAACGCAACCACAATTTGCAACTACTCAGAGTAGCTAATGGTCAGAATATTTTTGCAAATAGAAATAGTTTCCAAAAGAGGCCCTTAAAAAGTGATCCTCACATTTGCATTGTGAAAGTATCATTTGTCTTTTTAAGGAGTTTGAGCTGAGCACTTTCCTGTCTTTGTTTGAATTTTCCTTTATCTTATTATGTATTATCTCCCAGATAATCTAAGGAAGGTGATAGCCAGCTCATAAAAATGTACATACAATAAAAGATACCAGGAATGTGACTGCCATTTATTTTCTATTTTAAGGATTTCCTGAAACTTTATAATGCCCAAGTTTTAGGTCAGAAGTAAAAAGTTGAGAGAATTTTCATTTATTCTTTTATAGTAGTGTCATGTAAGGATTTTGATTTTATTTTTTTAGGATTTATTTTTAGATTCATGTCCATTTATTTGTTATGAGATATTCAGGAGTCCTTGAATATGTCATAGAAGAAATGGGAGAATATTAAGGGAACAATCTATGCAAAAGAGCCAGTGAATTTGCATGTACAGTTG